TTTTTTTTTTTTTTTTTTTTTTTTTTAAAGGTGACCGGTAAGGGGATCTTAACCCTTGACTTGGTGTTGTCAGCACCATGCTCACCCAGTGAGCTAACCAGCCATCCCTATATGGGATCCGAACCCGTGGCCTTGGTGTTATTAGCACCGCACTCTACCGAGTGAGCCACGGGCCAGCCCTTGATCATAATTTTAAAAAACATTTGCAAGACCTGCTGAAGTTATTTACTTCTTTTTTCTTTTGGCGACTGGCTGTTATGGGAATCCAAACCCTTGACCTTAGTGTTACCAGCACCACGCTCTCCCAAGTGAGCTAACCAGCCAGCCCCTATTTACTTTTTTTTAAAACTAACACTCACTGTTTTAGTCCATTTTGTGTTGCTATAACAGAAATACCTGAGACTGGGTAATTTATAAGGAAAAGAGGTTTATTTGGCTTACGATTCTGAGACAGCTGCATCTGGCATGGGCCTCAGGCTGCTTCTACTCATGGCAGAAAATGGTAGGCAGCCAGTGGGTACAAGCAGATCACATGGTGAGAGGAAGCAAGAGAAAGGAAGCAAGAGAGAGAGAGAGAAGGTGCCAGGGTCTTTTTAAGCAACAAGCTCTCGCGGGAACTAATCGAGTAAGAACTCACTCATTAATCCCCCCTCCCCCATGGAGAGCATTAATCCTTTCATGAGGGATCTGCCCCCATGACTCAATCAGTTTCCAACACTGCCACATTGGAGATCAAATTTCCACATGAGTTTTGGAGGGGACAACACATCCAAACTCCATCACTCACTAACACTTTTTCCCCTACTGATGGGCGAAATAATCTACACTTGATTGTTTCTTATTTTAAAGATACTTAGGAAAAATTACATATGGTGTACATTCATAAATGCTGATTAACTATTAAATAAAACACTGGTAACTATTAAGGAGATGAAGTTTTATGATAAATTAATCTCTCTGGGTTTATACCTAGATTGCTTACCCACTGGTTATAAAAGGTTTTATGGAATGTGTGATAAGTTTTGTAGAGAAAACAAAATGATGTTTTCATTAACAGTTGATTTTACAGAAATATTTGTTGCATATACTTAACTACTGAGAAGTTTCTTTATAATAGAGTCTAAACAATCTCATTTCTCTACTATAAAAGTAAATAGCCATAAGATTTTTCTTCTATAAAAACTAGCCAGGATCCCTTGAGCACTGAAAATAATTTAATAATTTCAGAAAAATGTCTCTTATAGCACTATTCTGTTTAAGTAGAATGATTCTGCATAATATTACTTCCCAATAATTAAACTTATATTACAAATAATCAACCCTTCTGGAATAAGATGCACCAAAGTGGTTTTCAAAACTTTAGTGTACATCAAAATCTCCTGACAAGACTATCAAAAATGCAGATTCCTGGGGCTTACTCCCATAGACGCTGATGTTCAGTAGCCTGGGACTGGGTCCTAGAATCTGCATTATAATTAATAATGAAGAAAGTGCTAGGACACACCTTGGAAGCACTGTTCTGGTTAGGCTTGTGATTTTCGTAGCATTTCATGATGTACTTACTTAGGGTCAAAGGAAATTATTGTGATGATACATTATGCTATATGTATTTCACAAAATGAAGCAAATTATTTAGCAGGTGTTAAAGGGTTGATGTGAAGGACATCTAATCTATTATGTTAAAAACAATCTTGTGAAAATTTTAGGGATTGATCTTTCAAGAAGTAGGGATATACCACATTTTATGTTTTAAAGATGTTCCAGATAAATCAAAATAAAATAACGACAGAGGAAGAAGCATATTGTACTTGCTAAAGCATTCTTAGAGAAATACCATTTTCTACATTAATTTTTTTTTTGCCTTTTGATTTTTTTATTACTCAGAAAAGCTTCATTTTTTAAATTTAGCTTTCTGACTCTGTGCTTGTGCTTTCAACACTTTCACAACCATTTTCTGCTCATCAATAAGGAAAGTATGCTTGATCCTGTCATGGACACATTTGGCACACATGGAGCCACCACAGGCCCTGCTGACATGTTTTTTCATTTTAGACAACCTCATAAGAACTTTAGGTCTCACAGCACGAACCCCTTGAAATCTGTCTGGACACACGCCACATGAAGATTTTGGTGCTTTCCCAACCTTCTTGGTATAAAGGGAAACTATTCTATTACCAGGGGTTTGGGACAGTCTAGTTTTGTTAGAGGCTGTATTGTAGGAAAGCCTACGACGGTATGTCAGACACTGGATCGTTCTGAGTGCCTCTCTAGACACCATCCCCAGAAAAGCTTCTATATTAAATTTTTAAAAATACTTAAAATACTAAAAAAAAAAAAAAATAGAATTACCATATGATTCAGCAATTCTGCTTCTGGATATATATCCAAAGAATTAAAACCACGGTGTTGACATGATATTTGCACACCCATGTTCATAGTGGCATTATTCACAATAGCCAAGAGGTGACAGTGACTCAAATGTCCATTCACAGATGAACAAATATACAAAATGTGGTATATACATACAATGGAATACGGGGGTCCTTCAAAAAGTTCATGGAAAGATTAGTTTATCTCTTAATTCTATTTTTCCACAAACTTATTGAAGTACACTCATATTATTCAGCCTTAACATAAGGAAGAAATTCTAACACACACTACAACATGAATGAACATAGAAATAAACATTTTTTAAAACATATACTTAATCATAGAAAGTGATAACCTTTCCCAAGGAATCATGTTTCTCCAGTTAAATATGGAACAACATTTTAAGCAGAACAACATCATTAAATATAAACATGTTATAAGAGATATGTCTCTGAAGTAGTGCTGTGTAAATATTATTATTTAAAATTCACTAGGGCACATGCCAAGATAAACTTCAAATGGATCAAAGATTTAAATATAAAACATGAAACCAAAGATTTGAATATAAAAGAGAAAAGTACAAACACACCATCAGAAAATTCCTTTCTAAACTTGGGGTAGTGAAGTTTTCTAACTAAAAGTTAAAATCTAGAATGCATGAAAGAAAAGACTAATAAAATTTATTACATGAACATAAAAATGTCTATATAGCATTATAAAACCCAGGGTGGAGCAAGATGGCCAACTAGAAGAACCTATCAGATAAAATTTATTACACGAAAATAAAAATGTCTATATAGTATTACAAAACCCAGGGTGGAACCAGATGGCCAACTAGAAGATCCTACCACTTGTTTCTCCCACAAGGACAGACAAAACTGTGAATAAACAACTATATTTGGAAGAAAATTACTAAAGGAGAGCACTGAAGCACATCAAAGGAAAAACAAAAACACTAGTGAGCACAGAAACTCAGGATAGCCACAAGAGAACGGAAGGAAACACCTAGCTTCCATTACCCCATCCCCTACCAGGATCAGCTGGAAACAAAGAAGAACTTCTCCCTGAGGGGGAAAAAACTACATGCCACAGTCAGTACATGAGACCATGAACCCAGGATCCTGGGTCCACAGCCCCTCTAAATACCTGCACCTGGAACCCAGCACAGCTGCAGCAGCTTGTAGGTCAGGTCAGACCTGACACCAAGAGGAAACCTCTCAGCCAATAATAGAGGGAATAAAAGGACCCCCAAAGCCCTTGCCACTGAAGACCTTAACAACCTATGCCACTGCTGCCACCGCCTAAAGAAACTTCAACAGCCAAGGTCACTGAGGCACCAACAGTTATCAGTGATACTGATCACAGCTGAAGAAGCTGCCCCAAAACTATACCACTGCATCTGTGTGGAACCAAAATCACCACACCCTTCCCAACCAGCCCACTAAGACCCAACTGCTGGTGAAAGACTGTGTCTATGAAAGCCATTCTGTGAAGTTTGGAAGAGATGATTGTTCCACTTAATACACAGACATCATTGCAGGGACACAAGAAACATGAAAAAGTAAGGAAATATGACACCACCAAAGGAACACAATAACATGCTAGTGACAGACTCCAGAGAAAAGGAAATCTAGGAACTCACAGAAAAGGAATTCAAAGAATGATCTTTAAAAAATTAGGGCTGGCCAGTTAGTTCAGTTGGTCAATGTATGGTGTTATAACACCAAGGCCAAGAGTTTAGATACCTGTACCAGCCAGCCGCCAAAAAGAAAAAATTAAAATCCAAGAAACAACAACAACAATAAAAAACTTAATGAGGAGGACTGGCCAATTAGCTCATTGGTTAGAGAATGGTGCTGATAACACCATGGCCAAGGGTTCAGATCCCCATACTGGCCAGCCACGAAAAAAAAAAAAAATGCAGATAGACAATGCAACAAAATCTGGAAAACAATCCATGATATGAATGAGAAATCTGACAAAGAAATATATACCATAAAAAAGTTCCAAACAGAAATCCTACAGCTGAAGAATTCAATGAATGGAATAAAAAATACAATAGAGAGCTTAAACAGCAGACTAGAACAAGCAGAAGAAAGAATCTCTGAACTTTAAGATAGGTCATTTGAAGTTACCCAGTCACAGAAAAGAAGAAAAAAGGTTAAAAAGAGTGAAGAAAGCCTGCAAGAATTATGGAACACTATTAAATGAACAAATATTCAAATTATTGGCATTCCCAAAGGAGAAGAGAAGGGAAAATGCATCAAAAACCAATTTAAAGAAATAATAGCTGAAAACATCCCAAGTCTTGGGAGAGATATGAACATAGAGATCCAGGAAGCTCAAATGTTCCCAAAAGATTCAACCCAAAATGTCATCTTCAAGGCACAGTATACTCAAAAGTCAAAAACAAAGAGGAATCTAAAAACAGCAAGAGAAAAGCACCAGGTCATATGTAAGGGAATCCCCATTAGACTAACAGAAGATTTCTTGGCACAAACCTTACAGGCCAGGAGAGAATGGGATTATATATTCAAAGTGCTGCAAGAAAAAAATTGCCAACCAAGAATACTATACCCAGCAAAGCTAACACTCAGGAATAAAGGAGAAATAAAATTTTGCACAGACAAGCAAAACTGAGGATTAGGTTAGGGTTAGGGTTGGCTGGGTAAAGACTACATGAAAGAGACCTAAAAAGAACAGGGAACAAAAGCAAAAACAGACATATGGGATAATATCAAACTAAAAAGCTTCTGCACAGCAAAGGAAACAATCAACAGAGTGAAGAGACAATTTGCAGAATGGGAGAAAATATTTGTAAACTATGCATCCATCAAAGGATTAGTAGCCAGAATATACAAGGAACTCAATATACAAGGAACACCAAAAAACAAAAACAAACAAACAAACAAAACCCAAATAATTCAATCAAAAACTGTGCAAATAAGTTGAATAGACATTTCCCAAAAGAAGACATATAAATGGCCAACAGGTATATGAAAAAATGCTCAACATCATTAACCATCTGGGAAATTCAAATCAAAACCACAATGAGATGTCATCTTAATCCAGTTAGAATAACTATTACCAAATAGAGAGAAAATAACAAATGCTGGCAAGGATTCAGAGAAAGGAGAACTCTTATACACCTTTGGTGGGAATGTAAATTAGTATAGCCATTATGGAAAACAGTATGGAAGTTCCTCAAAAGACTAAAAATAGAACTCCCATATGATCTAGCAACCCCACTACTGGGTATATATCCAAAGGAAAGGAAATTAGTACATTGAAGAGATATTTGCATTCTCGTCCTTATTGCAGCACTATTCACAATTGCCAAGATATGGATAGTGGAATATTAGTAAGCTATAAAAAAGAATGAAATCTAGTCATTTGAGACAACAGAGATGAGCTTGGAAGACAGTATATTAAGAATAGTAAACCAGGAACAGAAAGAGAAATGCTATATGTTCTCACTCATAAGTGGAAGCTATGAAAATTGATCACATAGAAGTAGAAAATAGAATGGTGGTTACCAGGGGCTGGAAAGGGTGGTGGGATACTGAGAGGTTGGTTAATGGATACAAAAGTACAACTAGATAGGAGGAATAATATCTAGAGTTCTATAGCACTGTAGGGTGACTATAATTAACAATTTAGTATATACTTTTAATTAGCTAGAAGAAAGGATTTTGAATGTTCCCAACACAATGAAATGATAAATGTTTGAGGTAATGGGGGAAAAAAATCAGTGGTTGCCAGAGTTTCAGGGAGGGAGGGAGGGGAGATGAACAGGTAAAGCATAGAGGATTTTTAGGGCAGTGAAACTATTCTGTATGATACTATAATGGTGAATACATGATATTACGCATTTGGCAACACCCATAGAACTAGGCAACATAAAGAGGGAATCCTAATGTAAAACTGAGTTAATAATAATAGATCAATCTTGGTTTATAACTATAACAAATGTACCACACTTATGTAACACATTAATAATAGGAGAAACTGCATGTGTTGGGGTAGGGGGTGGGGATATGGGAACTATTTGTGCTTTCGATTTCTCTGTAAACCCAAAACTGCTATAAAAAATGAATTAATTAACTGTGTTAAAAAAGAAAGCCCACACTAAACAAATCAAATGATAAATGACAAATTGGGAACAAAATTTGTAATTCATATCACAGAAAAAGGTTATCCTCCCTAATTTACAAAGAGTTCCTAAAAATTAATTTTTTTTTTTTGGTCCTTTTTGAGACCGGCCGCACCGCGCTCAGCCAGTGAGTGCTGTGAGTGCACCGGTCATCCCTATATAGGATCCAAACCCGTGGCGTGAGCGCTTCCGCGCTCCCAGCGCCGCACCCTCCCAAGTGCGCCACGGGCTCGGCCCCCTAAAAGTTAATTTTTAAAGTACTAACACAAGGTATGAACAGACAGTTCATGAAGAAACACAAATTAAAAGTGTAGTATACTTATACATCAATAATTTTTTTACCCATTGGATTGGCAAAAAAATACAAAAGTTTGACAATACTCTCAGATGGTAGGCTGTGGGGATATACACTTCTGTGGGAGAGTAAACTGATATAATCCTATTGGAGGGCAATTTAGCAACTTATATCGAAATTACACATGAATTTACCCTCTGACCCTGCAACCCTTACTGGCAATTTAATCTACAATTATATCTGCACCTATATGAAATAATGTATGTCAGTTATTGACTTCAGCATTGTTTATCATTGGAAACTACTGGAAACAATCATGCATCCATCAATAGAATATTGGGTAAATAAATGTTGGCATATATATAAACTGGAATACTGTGCAGCTATAAAAGACAAGATGCTCTAGGTACTGATTCGTACAGGTATCAAGACATATTAAGTAAAAGAAAAAAGCAAAATGCAGAAAAATGTTTATACTATGCTACTTGTAGTGTAAAAATAAGATTGGGAGAAATAAGAATATAAATTTATATTTGCTTGTACTTGTATAAATAACTTCTGAACAGACACTAAAAAACTAATTAAAAGTGGTAAACTGAGATGGGGGAATTCAGTTCAAATGGGAAAACGACTTTTGCTGTATGCCTTTTCACATTGTTTTGATTTTCGAATAAAAAATGTTATGGCTTGCCAGTTGGCTCGCTTGGTTCAAGCGCAGTATTATAACACCAAGGTTAAGGGTTCAGATCCTCTTACCCGCCAGCCGCCAAAACAAAAACAAAACAAAACTCTGGAAGAACGACTGAGAACCCACAAAGTCAAGACAGAAAGATTCCTCTCTACATTGTTACTGTTTAATATTAACACATTCCCCAGAGATTACATTTTAATAGAACGTATCAAGAACTATTTAAAAGTTGTGTGCTTTGTTAATAAAGACATTTACTAGTTAAGAATTGAAAAGCAGACTATTTGTGAATCCCTTTGGGAAGATAACACAGATGATGAGTAATCTAGGTTCTGGGTTTATGGGTCTTGGAAAATGAGCTTCCGTCTATTAAAGGTCTGTGATTCATCACACGTCCAGTCATGTCCAAAAACATATCCAGCCACAAAAACACATCAGCCACTCTTATCTGATTCACACTCTCTCAGTGATTTACAACATAGCTGGGCTCTGGGATCCTGTCCACAAAGGACAAAGCAACGGAGCACTTTGCCATTTCCCACCAATTTCCACATCTCATCCTCCTACACTCAATAAAATCAACTCACCTTGTGTTTGTTCTTCAGGAGCTTCTTTCAATGTGAAGTTTTCTTGTAATTTTTCCCGAATTGCTTCTAGGTTATGTAGAACATCTCTAATTTTTCCCTCGGATGTGTTGGAAGTCACTAGCTTTGGAGAAGCCGAGGCAAGGTTCATCCCAGAAGAAAAAGTCTATTGATGAGTCATGAAAAAATAAATGGAAGTCCCTTATAGCACCCATCAAAAACTATATTCAAGTTCTGCCCTATATCTGTACTTTTTAATTTAACTCCTAGCAAGTTTTTTTGGTTTTCTTCTTCCAAGAAACTGGGCAGGAAGATCTTTTTAAAACAAAATTAAGCCCTCAAAATATGTGCCTTGAAAACAATCTGAAATAATACATACAAAAATACCAAAGAGTGCAGCAAAAATATCAAAGAGTGATTATTTCTAGGTGACAGGGTTATGAAGGATTTTAATTTGTTTTCTTTAAATTGTAATGTATTTTCTAATATTTTGTACAATAAATGTGGATTTCTTAGGCAATACCAAAAAAGTTTTTAAAAAATTTAGGCCCATCTAACAGGGCCTTTACAAAGTAAATAATACAGATAGTCACTGAGATAAGTAAACTGCAGAGGGCAGAATAATCTCCTGACTTTATATCATGGTATTTCTCAAGAGCCAATGTAAACATGTTGCCTGCATCCAGGCCCCACTTTCTGGGGCCTCCAACACATGCTCCCTGTCCAGTTATTGCTCAATACTGCCCTTCACCTACTCACCAACTTTGACACCTGACTTTCCTTCCTAATTCTGCATAATCCATTCCCCATTCTATTCACCAATCATAGCAGTAGTATAGTAAACACTACACTCATCGAGGGCTCTCCACGTGCTATGTATTGCTGACCTCCAATTTGCATAACAGCCTCACGAGGTAGGTTCATTATCCCCATTTTACAAAAGAAGTTGAAGTTCACGGAGGTTAATTAAATTGCCACAGTCAATTATATCATCCTACATTTTCACATTGCTCAAGCACTTTTTTATATAAATCTCTTTTAATCCTCACAATAAGCCAATGAGGTAGCAGGCCATGTATCGTTATTCTTATGTTATAGATAGGAGCCTGAGACTCAGAAAGATGAAATGACTTGCCCAAGGTCATCATACTAGTGAGTGGCAATGTCAGGTCTGAAAGTCAGATGCTCAGACTTTCTATCCCAACACATCATCTCACTGAAGACCCATCTATTCACTCATTCGTTGGGTATTTGTTGAGCACCTACTATATGTGCCAAGTACTGTGCTACAGCCTGGGGATACAATGGAGAACAAAAGAACAAAAGCATCAGTCCCTATCCTCATAAGGCTTAGAGTCCAGTGCAGGGGTAGGGATGGAGGAACAGACATTAATGAAGTATGGCACAAATCTGTGACAGCTGCTACAAATGAAAGGTACATGGAATCGTAAGAGCCTCTAACTGGGGGATTTTATTTGTTCAAGGAACTCAGTGAAGGCTTCTCTATGAGGAAGCAGTGATCTATCTAGGGTCTGAAGAATGAGCAAACATCACTGCTGTAGACTGGATGCCCCCTCAACCTCATTGAGGCTTAATTCCCACTGTTAACTGTAGAGGGTGGGAAATCCTATTATGGTAATTAAAAGACGGGGCCTTGAAGAGGTGATTAGATTATAGGACAATGCTGTAGTGAATGGATTAATAATGGTGGACATGGGCCTGGTTCTGAGGTTTTTAAAAGGACAGTGCATGAGGAGCTATCTCTCTGCTCTGCTACACCATTTTCACAATGTGACACTCTGCCATCATGGAAGTCACCACCAAAGAAAGGCTTCAACAGATATATTCCCTAGACTTTGGACTTCTGAGCCTTCAAAGCTGTAAACAATACATTTTGCTTCTTTATAAATCACCCAGTTCTGTGTATTTTGTTATAAGCAACAGAAATGGACTAATACGATCACCTAGGTGATGGGGTAAAGGAAGGGCATTCTGTGAAGGGTGCCCTGTAGTGGGAAGAAGTGAGAAACACTAGAGGGACAGATGTGACCAATGTGGCTGGAGCTTACAGAGCCCGGAGGAGGTAGGGTGAGATGAGATGGGAAAGGCAGACAGGGATGGGATCCTACAGGACCTTGCTGGTCCTGTGAGGATTTGGGTCTTAATCCTGAGCAAACAGATGTCATTGGAGTATTTTAAGCAAATGAGTTATATGATCAGATCTCTGTTTGAGAAGGTTGTTCAGATGAACGTGAGGAGAATAGACTATAGGGGGTAGAGAGGATCATTTAGAAGGCAAGAAGCACAGCCTTATAACACCAAGGTCAAGGCTCTGGATCCCTGTACCAGCCAGCCACCAAAAAACATTTTTATTAATAAAAAAATTAAGTTTGGGGCTGATCAGTTAGCTCAGTTGATCAGAGAGCAGCCTTATAACACTAAGGTCATGGGTTCAGATCACTGTACTGACCAGCCACCAAAAAAAAAAATTATCACAGGCTCAGATTAGAGCTCGGGAGTAGTAAATAGATTTGAGAGATATTTAGGGAGGTCTTGGAACTACTATGTGCTGCATGGTAGGGTGCGAGAGAAGGAGGTGACATAATTCCCACGTTTCTGGTTTGTGTACTTGGAAAGATAATGGGGCCAGCATTAAGATGGGGAATGCTAAGTGTGATATGCTTTTGAAATATCCAAGAGGAAAGATGAGAAGGAAAATACCAGCCTAGAGTTCAGAGAAAGTTCCAGGCTGGAGATATAGTTGTGCAAAGAAGCGGTAAATAAAGCCATGGTTGTGGGAAAGTCCACTTAAAGGGCAAGAGGAAGGGACCTACAACTTAGCCTTGAGGAATTCCAGCATTTAATTGCTGAGCAGAGGAGTGAGCCTGCAAACAGACTGAGAAAGCACAGAGAGGGCCAGAGAGAGGTGGGAGAAAGCTAGAAAACTTGCGTCCCAGAAGAAAAGGGAAGGGAAGGCTTCAAGAATGAAAGCGTTGATCAATTGTGTCAAAGGCTGAGGAAAGGCCAAAGCAGATAAAGACTAGAATGTCTGTAGGCTTTACATAGAGGTCAATGGTGATCTTAAGAGAGAAAGCTGGTTAGGTGGAATGATAAAGATGGGTTCTAGCCCACCTGAAGCTCCTAGACCTCATCTCAAGCATTCCAAATTTCCAGTCATCCATGTTTGGTAGTAAAGAGAATGGTAAAAGATTGAGACTTATTGTATCCTTCAGCTTCAAACATATTTATGTTACTCCAGTTGGAAGCTGTCCCTAGCCCCACCGCTCCCACATCCTTTCCTCTCCAGCTGAGCCTACCATGCACAGGATGCTCTGTTCATCGTCTGGTCCAGATTCTGAGGGGGGCCCCTGATTCTGAAGGCTCCTGACAATGTCTTCAAGCTGTTCCACCAGCTCTGTCAGCTGCCGACCAACTTCTGTGATGTTCTTCTGTACCACCACCTTTAAAAGAGCAAAGTTTGGCTCCTGGGTTACATAAAACTGGACCCAGGAAACACTACTACACAGAGGAAGCCATAAACACCATGGTACTGGCATAAAGACAGACATATAGACCAATGGAGTAGGATAGAGAGCCCAGAAATAAATCCTCACATATGGTCAAACAATTTTAACAAGGGTGCCAAGACCATTCAATGGGGAAAGGACAGTCATTTCAACAAATGGTACCAAAAAAACTGAATATCCGTATGCAAAAGAATGATGTTGGACCCTTAACTAACATCATATATAAAAATTAACTCAGAACGGATCAAAGACTTAAATGTAAGACCTAAAACAATACAACTCTTAGAAGAATACACAGGGCAAAATCTTTGCATTGGATTTGGCAATAATTTCTTGGATATGACACCAAAGGCACAGGCAACAAAAGAAAAAATAAAACTGGACTGCATGAAATTTTTAAAAATTTGTGCAACAAAAGACACTAACAACAGAAAGAAAGAAACAAAGAAAGAATAATAATAAAAGACACTAACAACAGAGTAAAAAGGCAACCCACAGAATACAATATTTACAGATCATACATCTGATAAGGGATTAATACCAGAATATATAGAAAATTCCTGAAACTCCACAGGAAAAAACAAACAACCCATTTAAAAAATGGGCAAAGGACTTGAATAGACATTTCCCCAAAGAAGATATACAAATGGCCAATAAGCACATGAAACAATGTTTAATGTCATGAGTTACTAGGGAAATGCAAATCAAAACTACAATAAGATACCATCACACACCCATTAGGATGGTTACTATCAACAACAAAAACAGAAAATAACAAGTGTTGGTGAGGGTGTGAGAAGATGGGAATCCTTGTACACTGTTTTTGGGAATGTGAAATGGGACAGCTGCTATGGAAAACAGTATGGTGGTTGTTCAAGAAATTAAAAATAGAATTACCATACGATCCAGCAATTCTTTTTTTTTTTTTTCTTTTGTCTTTTTTCGTGACCGGTAACGGGATCTCAACCCTCGGTGTCGTGCCCATACCGCAACCGGCAACGGGATCACAACACTTGGTGTCGCGCCCACATCGCGCTCAACCAGTGAGCGGACCGGTCTCTATATGGGATCCGAACCCTCGGCAGGAGCGCCGCCGGGCCGGCCCGATCCAGCAATTCTTTTTTTTTTTTTTCTTTTGTCTTTTTTCGTGACCGGTAACGGGATCTCACCCCTCGGTGTCGTGCCCATCCCGCAACCGGCAACGGGATCACAACACTTGGTGTCGCGCCCACATCGCGCTCAACCAGTGAGCGGACCGGTCTCTATATGGGATCCGAACCCTCGGCAGGAGCGCCGCCGGGCCGGCCCGATCCAGCAATTCTACTTCTGGATATATACTGAAAAGAATTGAAAGCAGAATCTCATAGATATGTTTGTAAACTCATGTTCATAGCGACATCATTCACAATAACTAAAACATGGAAGCAACCCAAGTGTTGATGTCCAATTGAATGAATAAGCAAAATGTGCCATATACATATAATGGAATGTTCTTCAGCCTTAAAAAGGAAGGAACTGTTGACATATGCTACAACATGAATGGACCTTGAAGACACTGTGCTAAATGAAACAGGCCAGTCACAAAAAGACAAATACTATGTAATTCCATTTATAATCTGTATTTAGAGTAGTCAAAATCAGAGCCAGAAAATAAAACGGTGACTGCAGTGGGGGTTGGAGGGGCGGTTGAGGAGAAAATGGGAAGTTACTGTTTGATGGGTATAGAATTTCAGTTTTGCAAGACAAATAGAGTTATGGAAATGGATGGTAGTGATGCTTTCAAAACATTATGAATGAATTTTTTTCTTTATTTAAGTTTTTTTCCTTTCAACTGAAGACCATTAATTGGAATGAATATATTTAATACTGATGAACTATACACTTAAAAATGGTTAAGGTAATTTTAAAAACCAAAAAAAAAAAAAAGTAAAAAAAATTTTAATTTAAAAAGTAAGATAAAATATTTTTAAAATAAATTTTAAAAATGGTTAAGATGGTAAATTTTATATGATGTGTATTTTCACAATAAAAATTATTGGGAGAAAGAGGTAGAGGTTGGTAGAATGGATAGAAAGTACAGATCTATCTATATACTGCCTCCAAGAGATTCGCTTTATATTCAAAGACACAGATAAATTAAAAGTGAACTAAAATAACAGTAATAATAATAATAAAAGTAAAAGGATGGACAAAGATATTCTATGCAAAGGGTAACCAAATGAGAGCTGGGATGGCTTTACTAATATCAAACAAAATAGATTAAATCAAACACAGTTACAAGAGACAGTGAAGTACATTTACATCAACAAAAGGATCAATTCAACAAGAAAATATAACAATTATAAACATTTATGCACCAAACGCAGAGTCCCAAAATATATGAAGCAAACATTGACAGAATTGAAGAGAGAAGTAGAGAGTTCTACAATAATACTTAGAAACTTCAATAACCACTTTCAGCAATGGATAGAACATTTAGACACAAGGTCAGTAAGGAAATAGAAAACTTGCACAATACTAAAAACCAACTAGACCGAACAGATATACACAGAACACTCCACCTAACAACAACAGAATACACACTCTTCTCAAGAGTACATGGAACATTCTCTAGGACAGACCATATGTTTGACCACAAAAAAGTATCAGTAAGTTAAAAAATTATAAAGTCATACAAAGTATCTTTTTCAATCACAATGGAACGAGGTTAGAAATCAATAACAGAAATAAAAATGGAAAATTCAATTATATATGGTTATTAAACAACACGCTTTTTTTTTTTTTTTTTTTGTCTTTTTTCCGTGTCCGGCAACAGATCGCAACCCTCAGTGTACAACACGCTTTTAAATAACCAATGGGTCAAAGAAGAAATCACAAAAGAAGTTAGAAAATACCTAGAGATGAATGAAAATGAAAACACAACATACCAAAACTTCATGGGATACAGTTAAGGCAGTGTTCAGAAGAAAATTTATAACTATAAATGTCTATATTAAAAGAAAAAAAAAGATCTCAATAACCTAAATTTATACTTTTAGGAACTGGAAAAGAAGAACACACTAAACCCAAAGCTAGCAGAAGAAAGAAAATAATAAATATTAATACAAAGATAAATAAGACAGAGAATAGAAAAACAGCAGACAAAATCAGTGAAACCAATAGTTGGTTATTTGAAAAGATAAATGAGGTTAACAAAACTTTAGGTAGACCGATAAAAAGAGAGAAGATACAAATAACTTAAATCATAAATAAAGTAGAAACATTACTATTGACCTTACAGAAATAAAAAGGATTATAAGAGAGTACTATAAAAACTATATGCCTACAAATTACATAACCTAGATGAAATGGACAAATTTCTAGAAATACAAAAATTACCTAAACTGACTCAAGAAGAAATAGAAAAATTCAACAAATGTGTAATGAGTAAAGATATTTACTCAGTAATTAAAAACACCCCAAGGAAAAGTCCAGGACCAGATGACTTCACTGGTCAACTTTACCGAACACTTAAATAAGAATTAGCACCAATTCTCAACCTCTTCCAAAAAATTGAAGAGAGGGGAACACTTATTAACTCATTCAATGAGGCCAGCATTACCCTGATATCAAAGCTAGATAAAGACATCACAAGAAAAGAAAGCTATAAACCAATATCCCTTATAAATATTGATGCAAAAATCCTCAACAAAATACTAACAAACCAAATCCAACAGCATATTAAAAGGATGATATACCATGACCAAGTGGGGATTTTTCCCAGGAATGCAAAAGTGAGTCAGCCTAAGAAAATCAACCAATGTAATTCATCACATTAATAGAATGAAGAAAGAAAACCACGTGATCATCTCAATTCACACAAAAAAGGCATTTGACAAAATCCAACTCCCTTTCATGATAAAAAACACTCAGAAAACTGGGAATAGAAGAGGATTTCCTCAACATGATAAAGGAGATTTTTTTAAAAGTTATAGCTAACATCATACTCAGTGGTGAAAGACCGAAAGCTTTCCCCCCTAAGATTGGAAACAATACAAGGATGTCTGCTTTCACCACTGTTATTCAACATCATCCTAAAAATTTTAGCCAGAGCAATGAGACATGAAAAGGAAATAAAAGGCATTTAAATTAGAAAGAAGTAAAACTACCTCTATTTGAATGTGACATAAACCCATAAATAGAAAATACCAAAGAATCCATAAGAAAGCGAGTAGAACTAATAAATGAATTCAGCAAAGTTGGTAGGGCACAAGATCAACAAAAAAACAGTTGTGTTTTTATATACCTGCAATGAATATTCCAAAAAAGAAATTAAGAAGGCAATTCCGGGCCGGCCCGGTGGCGCACTGGACAGTGCGGCGCTTGGGAAGCGCGGCGGCGCTCCCACCCGAGGGTTCGGATCCCACATACAGACCGGTTCCCGCTCACTGGCTGAGTGAGGCACGGGGGCAACACCGAGGGTTGCGATCCCATTGCTGGTCCCCGGTCCGGTACGGGGGCAACACTGAGGGTTGCGATCCGTTGCCGGACACGGAAAAAGACAAAAAAGACAAAAAAAATAAATAAATAAAAATAAAAATAATAAAAAAATAAAAACAAAAAAATCTGGCTTTGAGAAAACTTGGAGCAGATTTTCCCTGTTCCGAACTCCTCAGCAAGTCATCAGTCATGAAAAACCATACTAATGAAGTAACACAAAATAGACAGTTCATCAAGCTTTTAATCTTCTTTCATTCTGCAGTGAAGAGTCTTGGATTTTACTCAGAATTTAACATGTGAGAAGCAAAAGATCAAATAAAAGTAAATTTTATAAATAAAACAAAGAAATACAGGTAAAGAAACAAGACTTCAACATACAGACTTAAGAAAGGCAAAATATGGGATCCAGCTGGTTATAATGCAGTGCTATAGCACAAGATCAAGGGTTTGGATCCCCTACCAGTCAGCCACAAAAAGAAAGAAAAGAAAAAGAAAAAGAAATAAAATATCATCTAAAATAATAAAATACCTATAAATCTAACCAAAGAGGTGAAAGACTTATACAAAACACTGCTGAAAGAAATTAAAGAAGACCTAAATAAATGGAAAGAAATTCTACATTTTGGGGGAAAAAAGACTTAATAATGTTAAGATGTCAATACTACCCAAAGTGATCTACAGATTCAACACAGTCTCTATCAAAATTCCAACAGCCTTTCTGCAGAAGTGGAAAAGCTAATCCTCAAATTTATATGGAATTGTAAGGGACCTTGAATAGCCAAAACAATCTTTAAAAAGAACAAAGTCAGGAGACTCAAACTTTCCGATTTCAAAATTTACTACAACAAAAAGAGGAGAAACAAAGAAAAAAAACAAAAAGAAAAAAACGGACAAATTTACTACAAAGTGATAGTAATCAAAACAGTGTCGTACTGGCATAAGGATAGACAAATATATCAATGGAATAAAATTGAGAGTACAGAAATAAACCCGTACATCTATGACCAACTGATTTCTGACAAAGATGCTAAGTCCACTCAATGGGGAAAGATAGTCTCTTCAACAAATGGTGCTGGGACAAGTGGATTTTCACATACAAAGGAATGAAGTTGGATCCCTACCTCACACCATACACAAAAATTAACTCAAAATGGATCAAGAACCTAAATATAAGTGAAAAATCATAAAACTCTAAGGAGAAAACACTGGGATAAATCTTTACAAACTGGGAATTGGCAATGGATTTGTAACTATAACACAGGAAACAGAAGCAACTAAAGAAGAAAGATCAATTGGACATCATCCAAAATTAAATTTAAAACTTTTGTGCATCAAAGGACATTATCCAGAAAGTGACACCTCCTAGAATGGGAGAATGTATTCATAAGTCAAATATGTAAGTTTAATATCCAGAATATATTAAAAATTCCTACAATTCAACAACAAAGAAACAACCTGTATTAGTCTGTTCCTGTTGCTTATAACACAATACATGGAACTGGGTGATTTATAAAGAAAACAAAATTTATTGCTTACAGTTTTGGAGGCCGGGAAATCCAAAGTACAGGGAACACATTTGGTGAAAGCCGTGGTGGTGGTGATAGTGACAGCAGGGTATTACATTGTGAAAATGGTGGAGCATAGAGAAAAACAGTCCCACTGCTTTCCTCTTAAAGTCCTCAGAATCACATCCCTGACTACCATTATTAATCCATTCGCCACAACATGGTCCTACAATCTAATCACCTCTTCAAGGCTGCACCTTGCAATTACCATAATAGGATTTCCCATTCTCAACAGCTATAGTGGGGATTTAAGCTTCAACGAAGTTGGCATCCAGTCTACAGCACAACCCAATTTAAAAACATTCTAAGGACTGGAACAGACATTTCTTCAATGAAGATATACAAACGACCAATAAGCACATGAAAAGATGGTCAATATCATTAGTCATTAGAGAAATGCAAATCAAAACCCCAATGAGATACTACTTCACACCTATATTAAAGTGTGAAGGCTTTACTAAAAACCAGTAACGCCCAGAAATAAGTGTTCACAAGAATGTGGAAAAATTGGAACCCTCATACATTGCTCGTGAAATGGTGCAGCCATTGTGGAAAACAGCTGGTAATTCTAAGAATTACCACATGATCCAACCATTCCACTCCTAGGTATATACCAAAAGAATTGAAAATAGGTTTCAGATTAGTGATGTCAAAGAAAAAAGGAAAAAAAAATTCAAAATAGGGACTCAGATACTCATTCAGCGATGTTCCCTGTGCCATTATTCACAAAAACCAAAAGGTAGAAACAATCCAAATGTCCATGGATGGATGAATGGGTTTTTTTTTAATGTGTACATCCATACAGTAGAATATTATTCATCCATAAAAGGGAATAAAGTTCTGACACGTGCTACAACACGAATGAACCTGGAAAACATTATACTAACTGAAAAGAAGCCAGACACAAAGGGACAAACATTGAATGATTCCACTTATATGAAAAGCTAGAACAGGCAAGTTCAGAGACAGAAAGTAGACTGGAGTTACCAGGGGAGGGCGGGAGGGTTTTAAACGAGGAGTTATTGTTTAACGGGCACAGATTTTCAGTTTGTGCTGATGAAGTTTTTAGCAACAGATATTGGTGATAGTTGCACATTAGAAATGTAAATAATGTCACTGACTTGTACACTTAAAACTGGTTAAAATGGCAAATTTTGTGTTATATTTATTTTACCACAATAAAAAGTTTTTCACACCAAGGTCAAGGGTTCAGAACCGTTCCAGCCGGCCGCCTAAATAAATAAATTTCAGAGACGGAGAGCGCGAGGAAAAGAGACCGCGAAAAGACTGGAAAGAAGTGGAGATACGCCACGGTGAGCCGGGTTAGCAGGATTTCAAGAAATTTGGAATTTCTTTTTTTCTGCTTTTTCATACTTTTCTAAACTTTCCAAAGATTCTCAAGAGCGGATTCGACTTTCAGACTGAGAAAAGTAATGTCGAGGTAGACCTGACGGGGAAGGGGGACGAGCCCTCTGGGGATGGGGGCCGGCGGCGGGGGCAGCCCGGGGACAGAGGGCGTGCGACGCGGCCTCCCTACCGGCGGCTGCGCCGGGCGGCGCTGGGGCGCGGGGACCGAGCTCGGGGCGGGC